TGATATTTATATCAGCATCATTTAGTCACATTATATTTATGAGTACGTGCGCTTTAAATAATGTCATATAAAGTTACTCGAAAGCTCGACCGTTGTCTCTGAAAACTATCTCAAAATTTCGAATTTTCAGAAATGCTCAAGCGGCATTTTCTCATAAACGGTTCCAAATTTTGTTCTTCAAACCTTTCGAACGGATATTGCTAATTGCACTTTTTAATATTACGTAATGTTCATTTCGGGGTATTTTTTTGTTTTCAAAAATTTCACTACTGTAATTTTTTTGAAAAATCTCACACACCGTTAATATGCAAATTTCCGGCAATTTGTAAACATTATTATATTTGTGAGTAAAAGTGTTTCAAATAGCATCTAATGAAGTTCTTCGAAAACTAAAAAAAATTCTATGAAAAAGAGCTTCAAATTTCGAATTTACAGTAGCGTTTAAGCGACTTTTTTAAAAAAATGTCTTTAAATGTTTCAAATAATATTGCCATTTAGGATTTAGGTTATTATATAAAATATTAAAATAATATTTCCGTTCTACAATTTGGAAACCCAAAAGTTAAGAAAATATCAAAAAATGTACTGTGGGCGGTGATGGATGGCAGTTTGCAAGAGCATTTGGCAAGTTCGTATAGCTAGCTGAGATCAAAGGAAATATGAAACTAATACGGGAAGGTCTGTGCCATTTTGTTGCACTACTAGTTTGTTTCTGAAAACTGCAGCGTGCCTACCTGAACGTTAGCTATTGTGTATTTATTCAAAAGACAAGTCTACTCGAAGCAGAAGAAAAGAAATTTGAGAAAGTAGACAATGTAGGTGATCATCTCTTTCTTTCCTTTATTTATTTATTTATTTATTTATTTATTTATTTATTTATTTATTTATTTATTTATTTATTTATTGTATTTGAGGTAAGGCGAGAAAATTAAAACTAACAACCAACCGGGTCGCCATGAAATGGCAGAATTTGCTAAAATAGGAACCGCATCTGCAGGTAAAATTCGCTAGTTTTCGCAGCGCGGACATATGGCGATAAAATTTGGTACTTGGAGTGAGTTGGGGGTTGCGGGTGATTGGAGTGAGTTTGGGTTGATTGATTATTTCATGTTTCCGGGCGCATCAACTGCTATGATAATTGTCCAGTAGGTGTAGTGCATGTTTTATCATAGGAGATAGATGTGGCGCCGACTTACACGTCGACTTGCGGGTTTTTTCCCATCCATTCATGTCCCATCAAGTAAGCTGAAAGGGGCATGGATGAGGAAGGGAATATCGCGTGCAGTCCATAGCCTGTTTGTTAGGGTACTGCTTCGGTATTCCCCTCTTACTAGCTGGAGAAGCAACGTAAAACTATCGAACAGAACAGCCGCCTGTTAGAAATCTCCTCAGTCAGCAGCTGAATTCGACCCAGCTATCTAGCTAGGTTCGAAAATCCTGCCACGCGACTCAAAAATAGTTTGGGGATTGGGGGATTTGCAAAATATAGCAACACCAGGTAGGCTTCCCAAACTTTATTTTGATTGGCGGCTCTTTTGATTTTGTATAGCGAGGGCCAATATTTCGACAAGTGGCTGTGTTCTTAAAAGAACCTTACTTTGTCCGTGGCCAACTTCACTTCACCATCTCAAAATGAAACTAGTGGTACTAAAACAGCACGTACTTTCTTGCCCGTATTTTCACACATCGTGCGAAAAGCACACAAATGTTCGAAAAATTGTAAATTGCCTTATTTCAAAATATATCTTTAAGCATCAGATTTAATTAAGGGAAAAAATCTTTATATTCAATAATGTAGTAGTAGGAAGACGCCGAACAAATTTTGAATTTTTGCAATTTTCGAAAAAGCAGCGAACGAACATGAGACCTGCACCATTCTCTTAATCGTCCTTCACACTATCCGACAACAAAATTTAATAAAAAACGATGGATCCATTCTTTTAAATTTTGAAAATATCCCCGGGGCTCAAACTCAGTGCACCCCAAAATTCACAGACGGACTCACAGACAGCATTTGATTTTTCGGTATCAAGAACCCACAAAACATGGATTCTGGCTACACCACATATTAGAGGATCTCCCCCCTTAATTAAGCAACTGGATTTATCCACTTTATTCCTACCAGGGCCCTCTAATAAAGAGTTTTTTACCGAAAATTTGCCTTTTTAGGCAGCATTACATAACTTTCTGTCTACGCAGTAGCGAGAAAGTAAAAATGTTTGTTAATGAGTGTGTCGCAGAGCAATTTGATGGGGAATTTTTAAAATAAATGAAATTTTAAAATTGAAGAAAACCCGCAATTCAGTTTGAAAATGAGTTTTTTAAATTAATAAAGCTACAGTTTAATATCGTCCCATCGTTTTTGACGGGTTACCTCTAGTCTTTACGTATTAAAATTACTTGATTTAGAAAAAAGGAGATAAATTAATAAAATCAAAGTTAAATGAAACCTGAAAAATGTGTACGTCCAAAAACCCAAATTACTCTTACTTTGCGTTTTAGTGATACAAAATGGAAATGAGACGTTCATCGCGAAGATAGCATTCTCTTTACATTTCACTGTCACTCCTCACAGTCCGTCCTAATTACACTTCCTCGAGGTTCTTTCACAGCATCATTTATAACTTTCGCTGTTATCTCCCTCAATCATCCTTACCTCTATTTGACGACGTATGTGAACAATTTCGATAATACTATGACGACTAAAGACGAAACGAATCATTATTCGTATTATAAGCATTTATATCTACGACTATGCGAATGCGATAATATTCGATTTGCACCCTCATATGCATGCTATAAGAAGCTTCATTATAACACTAGTACTCTAATGAAATATGTAGCACTAGTTGCACTATGACTTAAATATAACATTTATTTTAGAAGACGAAAGACGTTTGAAACAAAAGTAACATTTGTATCTTAACTAAGATTTTCGTACATAAAATTTGTTGAAAAATATAACACCTTTTCATCCCTACTACTCGTTCTCACGGCCCTAAAAGAATCACACGAATTTTTTCGCGGCAAGAAATACATTTTTTCAGTTATTCTTAATAACAGGGGCGGATTCATAGACGAATTGTGGGAGGGGAAATTTGTATGTCATATACGTATGTATGTATGTATGTATGTATGTAT